TTTTTTTTTTTTTTTTTCCGGAACCAGGGATTGAACTCAGGCCCTTACGCTTGCCAGGGAAGCGCTTATTCCACTGAGCCATCTCCTCGGCCCCCAGTTTGGACAGTATTTAAAAACATCTGAATTGAGACTGGGTGTACTGGCATGTGCTTATAATCCCAGCACTTGGAAGGCTGAAAACAGGAGAATCACAAGTCCAATCTACAGGATAGTGAGACCCTATAGATTGTGCAGACCCTCTACTAAATATGTAAAAATAAACAAAAGCATCTGGATGACATCAAGGCACATTTAAGGTCAACCCAGTGTCAAGGTCATTGGTCTCCAGCCACATTTGGAGCTGTGTGGGGACTCGAGATGCCTAGGGCACAGGGAGGAATGAGACTCGAAACAGGAGGACCTGGGCCCTGCACACATACCTGCAGGAAGGAAGAGTGGGGCTGCTGCTGTGAGGAGGTGCACTGGCGGGTCCTCAGCCTGAGAGAAGGTGAGCACCCGCCAGATGCCTATGACCATCCATGGCAGTAGGTTCACAATGGCCACAGCCCCCGCTGGGACCTTCCACATACCCATCCCGAATGCCAACCACAGTGTGGCCCAGCATGCCACAGATCTCATTCCATCTTGAGAAAAAAAATGCTCCAACACACAGCCTCTGGATGGATCCTGAGGACACAATATCAGGTGACCAAGCCAGGTGTCAGGGCCATTCACAGGAAGTATGCAGAATGGAGCCACAGGGTCAGGAAGCAGGTCAGAGGTGGCCCCAGTAGCGGGGCCAGAGAGCAGGGCATGTGACTGCCAGTGATCACTTCTCACCATTGAGTGAAGGCTACACAGCACCATGAAGGTACTAGAGGACACTGATGGTCACTTTTAAATGGTCCACTGTGTGTTACGTGAATTTCACCTTGATTAAAAAACCCAGGAAGAACCTCTCCCTTGTGGCCCTGGAGTTAGGGCTGGCTTTGTGTCTCGAAGCAGCCTGGTGGTGCCTACAGACAGAAACAAGATGGTTCTTTGGGAATAAATGCACTCTTTCAGGGCCTCCTGGAACCAAGGAGAAAAGCCCTTCTCTCTTCTCTTCCCTACAGAGCACTCTACTGGAGGAAACCCAGACAGGATCACAGAGCACCCAGGTCTACCCCACAAAGAGAGTAACAAGGCCTTCCTTGGCATCTTTGTCATGGTGCTGCCGGCTGCAGTGGTCGTGTTCCTAATCCGGTTCAGACATCGTTGGAGAAGCAGCTATACAGGTGCGTATGAGACAGCTGTGCACACAGGTGTGAACAAGACAGTGTGTGCATAGGTGTTCACATTTTCTGTGTTGGTGTGAGTGTCCCACCTTTTAAACTCACTGGCTTGGCAAGCTGTTGATTTCAGTTGAGAGTTAGCTGGAACATGCTAGCGCACACCAGCGCCAGCAGCCAAGCCATCCAGGAAGCTGATTCAAAGCCTAGTTATCTCACAGGCACTGAGTTCCACATGGAGCTGAGCCAAAGGGTGTGGTGAGAAGCCCACCCTTCCTGCTTTAGGTGGATTCTGAGTCGAGCTGGGGCGGAGTTTGTGTCTGTGGAAGTCAACTGAGCAGAGGCTGTATGGCCATCATTCTGTGCAATCTGAGGACAGCCCAGAAAGTGACCTGACATCACAGAGAGGAACTCCAAGGAGGATGGGAAAGGCCTGAACTTGGGCCACCGTGCTGGCCTTCCCTCATGCTCGCCTTCATAGTACCCAGGGGAACTATGAGGTCCCATGGAACGATGAGTTCATGTGGTCCTGTGGAGCCCAGTAGCTGCAGGATGGAGGAACAGAAGTCCCCTCTCCACTCCCATGTGCCCTTCAAGGCTCTGGGTGGGGCCAGCCCTGGCTTCCCAGAAATACTTCCTACTGCCCACAAATCCTTGCTGCTTGGACCAGGCTGACAGGCCTAAGCCCAGGATATAGCATCTTAAATGCTTGTCACTGAGAGCATCTTCCACAACAGAATGGCCTGGGCACCCCTCCCAGCCTGGAGTTTGAGCTGAGAGGACGCTGTCCAGGCAGAGGCTCTTGGGCTGCTGTCAGCTTGGGACCCCTGGGCTCTTTAGAGCACCTGCCCACCTCTGCTTGGCTCTGAATGGCTCTGGTTTGTCCTACAGGTGCCCAGGCTGTGGTGCAGGAACAAGAGCTCACAGGTGAGTTTACCTGGGGTGCAGGGGCTGGCATGGCTGTTGGCCCCCTTTCAAATGTTCAGAAAATTTCCATGGTTGGCCTTGAACACCTGATGAGCCCAGAATTTCCTGCATCTCTGGCACAGGATCCCCAGCCCTGTGCATGCCGCAGAACTGGGGCTGTCCGGTTGGCATCAGTGACTCTGTGGGAAGCTGTCCCCATTGGTCTGAGTCCCCGAAGACCCTTTTCTAGGCCTCTGTGACAAATGAGGTCGGGGATGGCTCAGTGGTAGGCGCTTGCCCAGTGTGCAAGATGCTGTAAGAAAGATGTGCCAGTGTTACATATTTCCCTCTTCTTCTCTTCCAAGACCATGCCTGACAGGAGCTCGCTGCCCAGGTCATGGGCAGGGCGTCTGTGACTGGCTGCCCAGTAGACGTCAGACACATCTTGAGAATGGACTCCCCTGGACCTGCTGGTGACAGGGACCGTGAGCTGCAGGCCCCGCGTATGCCGTCTGAGGACAGGAGCTGCAGGCCTTGGTACTCATAGGCAGCCCCAGGGAGGATGAGCCTGGCCACCCCTGACAGAGAGAAGCCCATGCGGCACAGCAGCAGCCGGAACTGCAGTGCCCAAGCAATGGCTGCCCAGCCTCGGGCCATGCAGATGCCCACGAACACCTGGATTTGGCACTAGGCTCTGTACATGCCCAGACCTGCACGGCGGACATCTCAGGTGAAGGAAGGGTGCTGGGTTTACAACAACGAGGAGTGAGGCTGCTGCCCATCTCTGTGCTATCTGGGCTCAGTTGCAGGGCTCACTGGCTCACTGGCTGCCCTTCTGTCCTGGGGCTCCTGTGTGCACATGTGTGCACACTTGTGTATTTGAGACAGTGTATGCACTGGCACAGGAAATGGTACACACTGCAGACCCTGGGAGACCCCTGAGTTTTACTCTTCTCTCAAAGACTGGGCCTTGCTTGTGTTACACGAAAGCTAAGTGGGATTTTGTCCAAAAGAAGTCACCATGCATCAGGCTACCCTACACCTGCCTAGCAGTAGAAGGTGGTTGGATTCCCGGGATGCTGTGGTCCCCAGCCAGCCATCATGGTCCCTCAGACCCCCATAGTCACAGTGAAGACCTGGATTCAGCCCACCAGCTTCCCTGGATGCCCTAGTATGCCAAGGATTGGAGGCGTGGCCACAGCCCGAGCTCTCACGTTGTGTGGCACAGAACGGACTGAGTTTGCTGTCCCCAGCAGCTTCTGGAACGGTGCTGCCAGATGACCCAGGTGTGCACAAGAGCAGCTGTGGGCAGTGTGGCCTCCCAGGGACACAGGTCCATGGCCCCGCTGTGGCTAGGCACTCTGCCCCCTCCTACAGCAGACCCTAGGTTTGCATCACTCAGCCCTGGCAGGCATGTGGGCCTCACGGAGGGACTGGCCATGCTGGTGAGGCTGAGCGGGTAAGAACCTGTGGGAAAGGAGCTTGTTCTCTGGCTACAGAGTCCTTGATGGGCTCCAGGTGCAGATGAAGAGGGACCCCCCAACTTCCACCTGAGCATTAAAATGTGGCAATATTGAATACCAGTAAGAACTGTCAGCACCTGTCATGGGGAGGCCCAGGGCTGCCAGGCATGGGGCAGAGTTACAGGAATAGGCAGCTGTGCCTGTGTGCGGCTCCATGGTGACTCCAGCATTGAGGCTGGAAAGCTGGACATCCCCAGGTGTCCTTGAGTGGGGTCCAAGAGTGGTCTGGGCATCAGGACAGTCACTGACCAGGAGCACCTTTGTAGTTGTTGTGACCTCCTCCAGAGCCCAGTTTTTCAGAAAGGCAACACATGGGGTCCAGGAATGGCTTTGACCTGGAGACTTCCCCAGCGTGTAGTTGAAGGGGGGCTTCAGGGCACCGCAGTCACACTTATCCACTGTCCCCACCAGCAATAGAAATTCGCCGCCATAGCTGACCACCTATGGGAGCCCCTGGGTTCCCTCCTGGCCACAAGGAGGTTCTTACTGGGCCTCAGGAAGTGGTCAGCGCTTCCTAAGGATAGTGGACTGCCCTCCCTGGATGAGGGGACACAGATGACTTGTAGTGAAGTACAGGGCCAGGGGAGTTGGGCTCCATGTCAAGAATGAAGGGCCTTCCTCTCCACGCTGGCCAGAGGTGTGGCCAACTCTGGGAGGGGTCCTTCCATGGCCCCCTTGAGAGGCCCAGTACTCTCTGAGGAAGGCCTGGGCCTGGTATGACCCTCAGGACAGTAGCCGAGCTCTGCTTGCTCTAAACCAGCCAACCCCATGTCATCTCAACCAGAGACCCCCATGCCCCTGCCATGAGGGACCAAAGGGTCCCCACCATGCACAGGCCATGCCCTCCCATCTTCCCTGGTGCTGCCATGTGGGGCTGCTCCCCCATGTTCTCTCCATTCTAGCCCCTGTAGACAGAGCCCAGCCTGGGGCAACCTTCCCAGAGGCGCAATCCCATCAGCACCGGTGCTATGTGCAACCCCAACAAGGTCCTGTGCTCTGAGAGGCGATTGAGTTGGGAAGTCCCCTCTCCACTGAGTAGTTTCCCAGAAGCCACTTTCTGCCCAGGGTAGGAGCTCAACATGTCCTGGAATGGCTGTCGGCAGGGGACAAGGATACAAAAAGACACCACTCTCCAAGCCTGGGCAGACTCCCTGGCTCTCTCCTTGAGTATGGAGAGCTACCCGCTTCCAGGGTACCCCTTTCTTTCCTTTCTCCCAACTGATGCAAAACCCCACCTAGGAAAGCCTCATCCCACAGTGCTGTCTGGCCCCCACAATGCAGGGGTATGATGGGAGACAGCATGCAGAAGGGACACCTGAGCCAGGCAAGTCACATGCCACATGGGCTGGAGGGCTGTGTGTGACATCCAGGGTCCTAAGCCAGGGGACATGTCCATAGCCTGGTCTGCCAGGCCCTTGAGTGCCTGGACAGGTGGACATTGACAGCCAGTATCCTGTGAGCCGTAGCCCAGCCCTCTCCTGGCAACATCACAAGGCCAGGGTGACAGCTTTGGTGGCTCTGGTGGTTCTTCAGCCTCTGAGTCTGGTTGCTGTTGTTCCCTGCTCTGTGCATGGAGGTTGGTTCTCTCAGAGCTAATGAACCGAGTCTGAGGTTGCAAGGGACTTTCCAGACCTGCCCACGCAGTCACCATGGGCCTTTGCATAGAGCCAGCCACCCTGGGCTTGTACCTGTGTGTCCATCATGACCCCAGGACACTCTGCTTTGATAACTGGCTGGCTTCTCTGCCACACTTCTGATGAAAGCACATAACGTCAGAGGGAAAGTCACTTCCTGCGTCTCAGCATCAGCACAGAGGAAGGAAAGGCACGTAGTGCCTTCTCTGAGAATCGGGAGGAAGCACGATGAAGGGGTGGGGGAAAGGAGCTGGCTGGGGTGGACCGGAAGCCAAGCCCTGCGGATTCTGCAGATTCTGCCCACAGCCACTGCACAACACAGCAGGGGGTTTATTTGTCATCACAGTCCTGCAGCCTCTGCTACACCATGAGGTCTCTTGCAGAATGAGGACCTAGGAAGCAGTGGAGAGTGCCAACCCAGTAGCCCAGGGTGGGCAGAGCCAGGCTGAGGACCGAGAGGGCTGCTGCAGTTTGGGGTGGACTCAGCCCGGATGTTCTCTCACTGCAAACACTCAGGGCAAAGATCTGGCTCAGTGAGTTTGGCACCTAGGAAGCATTTCGCTTGAGACCACTCGAGCTGTGGCTGGCTGGTATGGTCACACTCCTGGGGACAGCTGAGCCTGTCCACTCAGCCGTGCATGCAGCATAGGCTCCACTACCACAGCAGGGTGCAGGCTGGGGGCATCACCATCCCTTGCCCACAGGTCATGGTAGCTGTTTTGCCTCAGGCCTTAACCACCATGGGCATTTGGGTTGCTGAGGAGTCCTTGACAACCATAAGCCAACAGCACTGGTGAGATGGGCTGTCAGCCCTGTTTAGCTAAAGTGACCTCCCTGACTTCCTGTCTGCCTTCAGGCCTAAAAGAGGAAGTGACACCACTGTGGCCCAGGGATGCACATAGGAAAGATCTTCCAAAAGAGCCTGAAGGCTGGGCTTTCAACCCACAGAGAACTGTCTTGGCTACCAAGACGCAGGGACATGCACTGCACAGCAAGGGCCCCTGGCTGAGGGCAGTGGCACCAGGGTCACAGGAATCCCCTGAAGGAAGGTGCCTGTCTGGCCCCAGAGGGTCCCAGGAGCCTATATGGAAGCTGACCAGCACGGAGGTATAGGTGAGTGCAACCACCACCTCCAGGCAGCTAGGATATGGAGCCACCTGGGTTCCCTCCTCTGCTGGACCAGGCTGAGCCAGCCTCACCCTGTATTGAGGGGCCACTGGAAAATCCCTCATGGGGATGGGGACAGTGGCGTCCATCCCCAGTTGGGATGTAGCAACTTAATGGCACTTGGAGATCACACATCGACCAGCCCAAGGTGAAGAATGAGTGAGAGTTCCTGCATGCACCATTCCTGGGTGCCCAGAGGGTGAACGAGGCAACCAGGTCATGTCAGGAGAAGGGCAAGGACAGTGACCCTGGACTTCCCATGGGGGCCACCAGCCAGCTAGGACATCCAGCCACGCTCTAGGGCTCAGGGGACACACATTGCACACCACAGTCAGTGAGGCTGATAATCCACGGGGCCCTCCTGGCTGGGTCTGGGTAAGTGTGCTGGCTCCAGACACCAGCTCCAGCAGAACCTGAGGGGTGCGGGGAAGCCACTCATAGGCCAGCTTCTAGCTGCCCTGACTCTGCAAAGACCCTCAGCCTCACAGCTGAGCTCAGCCCTGGCGCTGCCCAGCCGAGAGGCACCACAGTGGGGTACCCAGCATGCAGCCCTACTGCCTATCCTCAGGTTGGGCTCTGCTGGGGCAGTGGAGGTAGGAGTTGGGATTCTGGCTCACTCCTGCCAGGTAGCCCACCCTCTGTTGCACAAAGTGCCCGCCTCGCATGCTCTCATGCAACACCGAGGCTTGAGGAGCATCCCCAGGAACCCCACTAACAACCCTAGTCATGGAAACCCTGTGGCTTGCATCACAGCAGCTCCTGTGACAGAAATTTCCCTCCATCGACTGAAAACCACTTCTAACAGTCTATAGGGTGAGCGCTCCCAGCCAAGTCCCTGGGGAGTCTTTGTGATGCCTGAGCCCTGAATGTTTCCCTTCCTTGCAGCCGGCCTGCTGAGGCACTCAGGCCGTGCATTCATTCACTCAGCATTCAGTGGGTCAGTCGGTCAGTCAGTCAACATTCCCGGTTTGCTCTGCCCCTCCCCCACGATGCTGGGCAGGTACCAAGAGGTGTGGAGTGAACCCCATGGGAGCCACATAATCCATGCACTGTGGCTGCTTAGGGCTCTGGAGGAAGCCACCGAAGTGAAGGACACTGCTGCATCACCTGTTGGCTGTCAGAGGGGTGGCCCAGGCTTTCAGTGCTGGGCTGCTCAGGGCACTGCTATCATCACTATGCCCTGCCTTCTCCTCAGGTGGAGTGGTTACTTTAAAATGATAGCATGATGGTGCATGCCTATAGTCCCAGCATTCCAGGAGGCTAAGGCAGGAAGATTCCAGTTTAAGTCTTACCTGGACAGCTGAGCAAGACCAAATTTCAAAATAACAAACAGAACTGAGGATGTAGCCCAGTGAGAAGGCCTCGTGTTCAATCTCCAGAATCACAAAAACAAACACCTGGTTGTGGTGACACACACCTGTAATCCCAGCACTCTAGAGGCTGAGGCAGGGCAATCACTGCAAGTTCAAGGCCAGCCTAGGCTACACTGTGAGATTTTGTCTCAGAACAAAATCCAAACAAACACAAATAAAAATAAATATTTAAAAGATAGCACATGCCCTGCACAGCTGGAGATGCCATTTCCAGTGAGTGCTGGCCTTTTCCTCTGCCTAGGTCTGGATTGGTCTTTTGTGGTTTGCTGGATCCTCAACAGGCCCACTCTTGAGATAGGGGCATCCCTACCTCACCCATTCCATGGCTGATAACTCCTGTGGCTCTGCCGCCCACCTAGAGCTGTGTCCCCTCAGAACCTGTGTCCCAGCTGCTGTGTGGATGTGTGTCCTGGCAGAGCGCTGGCCAGGGTGCCCGTGTGCTGGAGCCAGTGACTCAGCCAGCCCTGAGTCTCCTTGGCAGTGGCAGGTCCAACCCTGGGGGCAAATCTGCTGCTTCCAGGGGATCTGACTCAGCCCCAAAAGGACCCATTGTGTTCCAAGCAGCCAGAGCTCCTGCCAGCCACATGGGCAGCAACCAGGTAGGTGGTTATCTGCCAGCTTCCACTCCAGATAGCCCCATGTTTTAAAATGTATTTGGTTGTTATAGGGCCTTACTACGAAGCTTGGACTCATAGTGATCCTCCTGTTTTCAGCCTCCCCAGTGGTGGGATTACAGGCATGTGTCACTACACCCAGACTCTGTGGCCAGCTCAGCCTGCCCTTGGGGCAGGGCTGGCATGGCATGTGGTGCCAGGGATCGAGCCACGGTCCTTGTGCTTGCCAAAGCTTGCCTAAGCAGGCACTTTATCCCACTGAGCCATCTTGC